TGTACAGCAACATGATAATAAACCTGATCTGATTCGATCAAATGTGATGATCTCATGGAGCGGCCCACCGCAGACGAGCAGTCGTAAAGTTAAAACTCTTCTCTGTGTTTCTAAAACAGCAACAAGCCTTTTAAAGCTGCCGGCGGGTTTCGGGGGTTCAGAGGGTTAATAGTAATATCTGGACCCACCATCTGAAATAACTACTGTTTTTATTTTAAAAACCAAGAGCCAAAGCAGTGTGAAGGGCAGCTCCCATAAGGTTTAACGATTAAAAAAAACACACCACAGCAATATATGCAGCCACGGCCGGCTTCAGCAGCGTTTTAGTGTCGGAGGAGGTCAGGTCAAGTTTATGTTGCTGAAAGGTAACTTTATTGTTATTAGAAGCCAGATAGGCGCAGCTCGGTCTGGGTGGATTTGACTTGGCATTAAGTAAACAATAAATTACATTCCAGCTGCTTTTCCTCTTTAGTTCTGCTGCTGCTGTAACCGCGGTCTGCTCTTTTTATTGCCTGGAATCAGTCTCGGACAGCGCTGGGTCTTCTTTGGGTTTATTACTGGTGGAATTTTAATAAAGCTAACACCAAAAAAAACAGGGAAGTCCAAGGTGGGCAGAACCGCCAGCACCTCCGGGTGTGTTCAAAGACGCCACCTGATAAAGAAGAAGAAGACGACGCTGCTCAAGAGCCGAGGCAGCTGGAAAGAAACTGTAATAATGTTGTTTTGACAAAGCAGCGGGTCGCTCTGACAGTCACCGCTGTGCAACCGCAGAGTTCGTATTGTTCCAGGTCCATTGGCTGTTGCCGGCGTTTCATCTTGGTGTGAGAGAAGATCCTTCATTCTGATGTTTCATTCAATCTATTATGTGGGTTAAAGATTGATTTCGGTTTTTCGGACCAAGACGAAGCAAACACAACCCGAGTTCTGCTCAGAAACGGCGACTATCGGTTGATGAGTCCACACGAAGAGGAACCAGCGAGAACAGGGAGGTTAAAGAACACAAATCACACAAAGAGACCTCCATCTTCAACAGCTTTGTATATTTAGTGAACATCAAGTCTTTGGTGTGGAAGTCAGGTTTTGGACTCCAGATGTTATGTTGTTTGAGTTTTCCCACATTTGACG